AATTTGTCAAAGTTGAAGGATACAAAATCATCAAACAAAAATCAGCTGTATTTCTATACACTAAGAATGAACAATCCCCAAAGGAAATTAGAAAATTATTCCATTTATAATAGCATTAAAAAGAATAAAATAATTAGGAATGTTTAACAAGATGTCAAAGGACTTACATACTGAAAACTATAAATTGTTGGCTGAAAAAATTTAAAGATGATACAAGTAAGTATAAAAGAATTCGATGTTTACAGATTTGAAGGCAGTATCATTAATGTGTCACTATTGGAATAGCTTCATAGAGCAGTGCTATGCAGAAAAGTTGGATCCCACACTGGTCAACCAGGTTTGAGTTCCAGACCTGGCAGCTTAAATGCTAGCACATAGTGCCCAGGATCCTAATGAATAGAAAACTGGAGGAAGAATTGTGGTATGACCAGGCCCTGTTGGGGGATGGTTTCTCTCTCTCTCTCTTTCTCGTGTGCATGCATGTGCCCTCTGGCATTAAAAAGAAAAAAGTCAATACTGTTAAACATGGTCTACAGATTTAATATAATCCCCATCAAAATTCCAATGGTATTTTTTTGCATTATTAGAAAAATTTCTCCTAAAATTTATATGTAATCTCAAGGGGCCCCAAATGTTCAAAACAATTTTGAAAAACAAGAACAAAGTTGAAAGTCTCACACTTCCTGATTTCAAAACTTACTACAAAATAATCAAAACAGTGTGGTCCTGGCATAAAGACAGACAATATAGACCAATGAAATAGAATAGAGAGTCCAGAAATAACCCTCACACATGTGGTCAAATGATGTTTCACAAGGATGCCAACACCATTTATTTAATGGTGTTGGAAAAACTAAATATCTATAAACAAAAGTTAACTCAAAATGGATCAAAAACCTAAAGGTAAGAGCTACAATTATAAAATTCTTAGAGGTGGGGCCAGCAGGTGGCATGATAGTTAAAGGCGCTGGATTTCCACATGGCTGACCACAGTTCAAGTCCTGGACCTGGCAGCTTGCTTTCTTGTTTTCCCTTTCTCTGTCTTTCTCTGGTCAAATTAAAAAACAAACAAACAAACAAACAAAAAACCCAAAAAACAGTAACAAATGGAATTAAATAAATAATTGTTTTTAAAAATTCTTACAGGAAAACACAGAATTTAGCTAAACATTGGCTTTAGCAATGATTTCTTAGATATGATATAAAAAATTTAGACAACAAAAGAAAATAACAAATTGAACTACATCAAATCAGGCAGAGTTCAAAGACAACCTATGGAATGAGAGAAAATATTTGCAAGTCACATCAGGTGCTAATACCCAGAATATATAAACTCCTATAATGCAACAACTCCTACAGTGGCACTGGGGAAGTACGGCTGGATGCACGTGAGGCAGGCCCTGGATTAGCACCCAGGACCTCCTTGAGCATGCCAGGTGCACACACACAGATGCCCACTAACCAAGCCAGCCTGACACTGCAAGTCAATCATGGCAGTGAAGACCCTGTTGGGATGGCCTGTCTCTCTTTCTTTGTCATGTAAGAAAAAAATAAACTTTACAAAATGTACAAAGATCTTGAATAGACATCCCCCCCTCCCAAAATACAAAGAAACACAAGAGAGATGTTCCACCTCACAAATCATTATGGGACTGTAAATTAAAAACAATAAGAAACCACCTCAATCTGTTAGCTTAGCTATAATCAAAATAGAAAATATCATGTGTTAATGAGGATGTGGAGAAATCAGAATCCTTGTGCACTGCAGGGAATGTAAAATCGTGCAGCTGTTATAAAAACATTATGTCAAGTTCATCAAAAAGTTAAAAATGAATGACCAGGTACAGCATTCTCACTGAGCATATGCTCCCCAAATTAAAAACAGGGTCTCTACCACATTTATACACCAATACTTATAGTAGCATTATTCACAATAGCCAAAAGATGGAAGCAACCTAAGTATCCATTGATGAATGGATAAGCAAAATCAGGCATATACATACAATAAAATATTATTAAACCTTAAAAAGATATTTCTGATACATGCTATCACACAGAACCTCGAGGACATTTTGTAAGCAAAACAAGCTAGTCATAAAAACAAAAAACAAACAAAAAAACCACTGCATAATTCCATTTACTTGAGGTGCCTAGAGGAGTCAAATTCATAGAAACAGAAAATGGAATGGTGGCTGCTGGTGGAAGGCAGTAATGGGTTGTTTAACAGGTGGACAGTTTCAGTTTTATAAGATGCAAAGTTCTAGAGACTGGTTACACAGCAATATAAATATATTTAACAATAGTGAGCTGTATACTTAAAGATAGTTAAGAAGGTAAATTTTATGTTACATGTATTTTATCCACAATTAAAAATGTTTAAATTAGGGTCAGCCAGTGGTGTGATGGTTGGGGTGGCTGGATCCATGTGACCAACTGCCAGTTCAAATACCAGACCCAACAGCTTGGAAAAAATCCTGGGCATATTTTTCCAAGTGTACGTGCCCAAAATCCCTAGAGGAGAATAGAAGAGAAGGCACTGTGGCATAGCCATCTCCACAGAGGGTGCTTTCTTCTGTCTCTCTTCCTGGTGAGAGCACACAATAGCAGATTTTTAAAAATGTTTTTAATTAAAAAAAATATATTCACTGAACATCTATTTCATGTCAGACATGGTGATACAACAGTAAATACTGTGCTATGAATAAAGAGACAGATCCTTAAGTATAAGTATCAATACGGACACAAAACCACAGGGTCTCGTGTACTGGGTATATCAGATAGGCTGTAGTTTTTAACAGGGAATTAGAAATGATTAAAAATGTACTATGTGGGACCAGCAGGTGGTGTGGTAGTTAAGGTGCTGGACTCCCACATGGCCAACTGTGGTTTGAGTCCCAGACCAGGTGGCCTTTTCTCTCTCTCTAGTGAACACACATGGCCTATAGCAAATTAAAAATAAATAGATAAAATTAAAGCAAATAATTCTTTTAAAAACAAGTCCTGTGTGACGGGGGCAGCAGGGTCGGGTAGGGCTGACCCATACAGGAAGGCTCCGACTGTCTGTCCACCTCACCTAGTTTTCCAGGCCCACCTGCCCGTGATCTACAGCTGGCTGGGGGTAGATCGTGCGCCAAGATCCTATTGGGAGTGCTGCCTCTTTCTGTCTGTCTCTCTCTTACTTACAGAATAGGTAACAAAAAAAACCACTGCATAATTCCATTTACTTGAGGTGCCTAGAGGAGTCAAATTCATAGAAACAGAAAATGGAATGGTGGCTGCTGGTGGAAGGCAGTAATGGGTTGTTTAACAGGTGGACAGTTTCAGTTTTATAAGATGCAAAGTTCTAGAGACTGGTTACACAGCAATATAAATATATTTAACAATAGTGAGCTGTATACTTAAAGATAGTTAAGAAGGTAAATTTTATGTTACATGTATTTTATCCACAATTAAAAATGTTTAAATTAGGGTCAGCCAGTGGTGTGATGGTTGGGGTGGCTGGATCCATGTGACCAACTGCCAGTTCAAATACCAGACCCAACAGCTTGGAAAAAATCCTGGGCATATTTTTCCAAGTGTACGTGCCCAAAATCCCTAGAGGAGAATAGAAGAGAAGGCACTGTGGCATAGCCATCTCCACAGAGGGTGCTTTCTTCTGTCTCTCTTCCTGGTGAGAGCACACAATAGCAGATTTTTAAAAATGTTTTTAATTAAAAAAAATATATTCACTGAACATCTATTTCATGTCAGACATGGTGATACAACAGTAAATACTGTGCTATGAATAAAGAGACAGATCCTTAAGTATAAGTATCAATACGGACACAAAACCACAGGGTCTCGTGTACTGGGTATATCAGATAGGCTGTAGTTTTTAACAGGGAATTAGAAATGATTAAAAATGTACTATGTGGGACCAGCAGGTGGTGTGGTAGTTAAGGTGCTGGACTCCCACATGGCCAACTGTGGTTTGAGTCCCAGACCAGGTGGCCTTTTCTCTCTCTCTAGTGAACACACATGGCCTATAGCAAATTAAAAATAAATAGATAAAATTAAAGCAAATAATTCTTTTAAAAACAAGTCCTGTGTGACGGGGGCAGCAGGGTCGGGTAGGGCTGACCCATACAGGAAGGCTCCGACTGTCTGTCCACCTCACCTAGTTTTCCAGGCCCACCTGCCCGTGATCTACAGCTGGCTGGGGGTAGATCGTGCCACAAGATCCTATTGGGAGTGCTGCCTCTTTCTGTCTGTCTCTCTGTGCGCCAAGACCCTGTTGGGAGTGCTGCCTCTTTCTGTCTGTCTCTCTCTTACTTACAGAATAGGTAACAAAAAAAAATGTATCTGAAAAAGAACCAAAACATAAATTGAAATAGATGACAAAAAAGGCATTTAATAAAATTCTCTAATATCCATTTTTTATTATTTTTAATTGCCAGAGGTCTTGTGTGCTCACCAGAGAGAGAGAGAAGAGAAAGAGAGAGAGAACGCACACCCCCCCCCCACCACCACCACCACCACTGGGGTGTGGTTATGTTGCAATCCCCTCTCCTCCATTTTTCAGTTCTGTTGGGATTTTGGACACACATGCCCAGCATGTTTTTCAAGCTGCCAGGTCTGGTATTTGAACCATAAGCTCCACCCTCTTCATATTACAGGATTCAGCTCTGGTGTGGCCCCATGAACTCCGATGGGTCAGGTGCATCTTCTGCACTCCCAGAGCATCACTGCTAAGGGCCAGGAAATAGGTCTTGGCATTCTCTGTGTCTTAGGTGCCCAAGGTGGGGCCTGACCACCCAGTGAGCTTGTTCAATATCCAGGTGACTCAGTGGGCAGGGCCTGGCGCCTGCAGCCCATGCAACACCTGCTTAACACCCGCTTCGTACAGGAGACGGAGAGGGTGATAGCCAAGGTGGGGGAGGTAACCTTTTAGTGAGGGCCAGGGGCTATGGCAGGGACCCCCAACTCAAGCTTACTTTTTCCTCTCTTTCCTTCTTTAACAGTTTGAGGTTTAACATAAGCTGGCTGCCAGGGATCTCAAACTCCTTCGCCTCTTCCACAGTTCCAGCTCCTTGGCAAGGTCAAGGAGTAACCAGCAGGAAATGGCAGGAAACCGAGAAAGCTCCACTGCTCCGACACAGGGAAGGAGAGCCTGTGCCATTACTCTCAAAATGCCTCTGGGGACGTGAGCACCCCACTGCTTCAGCTCATCCCCTACCTGCCTGTCACACCCTGGGAGACCGCCTGGCCGGCCGGGACACCCCTGAAAAGGAACTCCACCGCACCCACTGTTCTGGCCCAAGATACTGACTCACTTGCTCAACAGCCACTTTGGGACCCTGCTCCCAACCTGCACGAGCTTCGGGCTGGCTGCATTGAGGGCGGACACAGAGCAGGGTCTCCCCAGCTGCTTGGCACTGGCCTCCCCTGCCTGCTCCAAGAGTCTCATGAGGCCTGAGGTTCCTTGAGGGGACCTGGTGGTCCCAAACCCCTCAGGGAGAAGCCTGCAGGAGTTTCCCTCTTTGGGGAGGACACGTAGAAACTGGAAGTTCCAGGAGCGCCTGAGCGAGCCTCCGTTTCAGTGGAGGCACGTGGGGATGGCACTCAAAGTTTTCCACTTTCTTTTAGGGGCAGGTTTTTCCCTGGAATTGACAACTGAAAAACACAGCCGGTCTAATCCAAGAAGTTGTGTGTGTGTTTCTGATTGTGCCTGATGTGGCTTGTGGGGTATTCTGAACAAGCACTACACAGTATGTCCTGGGGCATGGCTAAAGCTGTCCACGGATTGCTGCGCTGATCACCTACTGAGAGATGGGGGCTGAGGTGGCTGTGAAATCGCCCCACCCGTAAGGCCCACACCAAGCCTCTGACCCAAGCTCACGGAGTCCAGATTCCAGAGCAGATGGCTAAGTGTCGACCTTGAAGAATGGGGCAGCTGGAAGGCCGGGCCCCAGGCTTGATGCCCCTCTCAAGGCAGGTGAGTTCCTGGTGCACAGCAGGTGCTCCGTAAAGTGCAGGAACAAGGAGGCTGGTGGTGCGCATGCTGACAGGCTGGAGCGCAGGGGCGGGGGCTGCTCCCGTTCCCCTAGGGCCTGCTACATTGCCCAAGTCACAACCAAAAGACCCCGGAGCCCAAATACTACTTCGGTGCTCTGAAAGTTACTCTGTCTTCTCTTAGACCTTATAATAGTCCAGTGAGGAAGAGGATTCCCACTTAATGAAAGAAGAACAAAGGCTCAGAGAGCTGAGCCTTACCTAAGGCCACATGACTAGACAACAGCCAGGATGGCAGTGATCTGGGCCTGCCTGCCTCCCACGGCTGTCCGGGCTCGGTCAGCCACCTTCTGCTTTTGCAATGACCTCATGGCACGTGGCCTACCAATTACTTTGAAAAAGACAAGGGAGTTTTAGCCATGTCCCAGGACACACTATACAGTACTTGTTTAAAATACTCCGTCACATTGAGCACAACCAGAAACACGCCCTCAACTTCAGGCGGTGCCGTACCAGCCCTGTCAGAGGGAACTGGGCCTAGGATATGAATGGAGACAATGCTCAGGGGAAAACAAATCACCAGAATGCTCCATCCCTCCAAAGCAGATCGGAATTTGACAAACCTTTACTTTGCAACCACTCGCCCTGTTGGTTTCTAAATATGCTCAACGGGTCAGTGACGCTCAGCCCAGAGGAAATGGCAAATGCCTTCCCCAACCTGCCTCCCACTCCCCTATCAATCAAGCCTTTGCCAGGAGCACAGGAATGGGCTGGGCTCCAGCAGGGATATGAAGAGGGAAAAATAGTTCTCCCTTCTCCAGATGGATTTCACAACACCAACGCTTTGCAATCGTGGGCATGTGGGTGTGTGTGTGCAAGCACAGAGTTTAAAGCAAAACAGATGGGAGGGCGAATGATTTGCCAAAAAGACCAGGAAATATTTGTATCTACAGCATACAGAGAGCGAGTACAAAGGACAAAACCTGCGTCTCCATGAGATGGTTCCATAAAGGGTATGAGTAGGCAATTCAAAAAGGAAGAAACAGGCTAGCAGGTGGCATAGTGGTTAAGGCGCTGGACTCTCACTTGACTGACCACGGTTAGAGTCCTGGACCTGGTGGTTTGCTTTCTCACTTTCTCTCTCTGGTGAATGTATATGCCCAATAGCAAAATAAAACATAATAATAAAATTAAATAATTACTTAAAAACAAAAGGAAGAAACATAACCGAGGACTAAACATTGGAGAAAATGGAATTTTACTAGTAATCAAGTGTGAATGTGCTGATGGGCCAGTTGTTAGCTTGATGGTTGAGGTGGTGGGTCCCACATGGTTCAAGTCCTGGATCCAGTGGCTTGGCAAAACAAACAAAAAATAATGATGATAATTGTATTATGCTGAAAAATGAGTATTTAGATAATACTCAGAACTGACAAGGCTGTGACAAAACTAGTCCCCTCAAATTCTGTAAATGAGCAATTTAATTAGTCTAACCTCAGTAGTGTTTGAAAGTCTGAAAACCTTTGAGTGGACCAACCCTTGGTCTGGTGGTTAGGCTGGCTAGATGCCACGTGGCTGACTGTGCAGTTCAATTTCCAATCCTGGTGGCTTGAAAAACGGTCCAGGCATGTGTACACGAGTGCCTGAAATCCTGAAAGAAGGAAGACTGGAGAAGGGTCTGGGTGATCATTCCTGACGTGGGGCGCGTTCTCGTTTTCCCTTTCTCTTTCTCTCTGGCGAGTGCATGCACGCTCTGGGAAGAACAAAACAAAAACAAAATACTTTGACCAAATAAGCCAGTGGTGATGGGACTTGATGCAAAACGAGAAAGGGTAGAGAAATACCAGTGATTCCTCCAAAATTTCAAAAGAATCCTCTTATTCAAGACAATGAACAGTTACACGCCGCCTGGTGAGAGATGGTTTTACAAGTTATGTATTAATTTGATGCACGATCCTGAACTCCTTTGTCAAGAACTCCAACATAAGGCAATGTTTTAACATGAAAAAAAAAAAGAAAATAAGGCTTCAAGTAAAACAGAAAACAAGACTTTGTAAACAATCTGCACTACAAATGACTTCATGTGGACAAAACTGGCAGGCAGTATAGAAAAATGGAGACAGACCACATATGGTGAGAGCACTGGAGGTGGTTATTTTTCTTTTAAAATTCTATCATTGTTGGGACCAGCAGTTGGCATAATGGCTACGTTACTGGACTCCCATGTAGTCAATCGTGGTTCGAGTCCCAGACTCGGTGGCTTAAACTCACGCCGGGCACATATGCATGCATGCCCAAGATCCCGAGGAGAGAATGGAGAAGGGATTGGGGCATGGCCATCCCCCTGGGGGGTGATTTCTCACTTTCTATCTCTCTGTCTCTCTCTGTCTTCCTGGTGAGCGCACACGCCCTATAGCAAAAACAAAACAAAACAAAACAACTCTCAAGGGACCAGCAGTTAGCGTAATGGCTACGTCGCTGGACTCCCATGTAGTCGATGGCGGTTTGAGTCCCGGACCCAGTGGCTTAAACTCACGCCGGGCGCGTGTGCATGGGTGCCCAAGATCCTGAGAGGAGAAAGGAGAAGGGATTGTGGTGCAGCTATCCCCCCTGGGGGCTGAGTTCTCACTTTCTGTCTCTCTGTCTCTCTCCATCTTCCTGGCGAGCACACGCGCCCTATAGTGAAAACCTCTCCAAAAAACTCTGAAAAAAAAAAAAAAAAGATTCTATAATTGTTATCATGTTATTTCTCCCAGAAGTTTTAAAAATTAAAAGGAAGCAAAAGGCGGAAGCAATTCGAATGTGCCTGGATGGCTAAATGGACAAACAAAATGTGGTCTATCCGTATAAAGGAGTGTTATTCAGCCTTAAAAAAGAAGGGAATTCTGGCTCACACTACCACACGGATGAACCGTGAGGTCATTGTGCTAAGTGACAAAAGCCAGGCTTTTTGACAGCACAGGACAAATACTGGATGACTCCACTTCTAGGAAGTGCCGAGAGTAGACCATCACAGAGCTAGGAAGAAGATGGGTGTGAGCAGGCGCTGGGGCGCAGGGACGAGGAGGGTGCTATTTGACGGGTTCAGAGGCTTAGTTGGGGGAAGGTGAAAAGGTCTGAAGACGGACGGTTATGATGGTTGTGAACATGGGGAATGTACTTAATGCCACTGAACTTGTACTTTAAAATGGTCAAGATGGCCGCGCCAGCCGGTGGCATGGTGGTGAAAGTGGCTGGGTCACACATGGCCGACAGCGTGGTTCAAGTTTCAGACCCAAAGTCTTGAAAATCACATTGAGCACGTGTGCATGCATGCCCAAAATCCCATGAGAAGAATAGAGAAGGGCTTGCAGCACGATCATTCCCCTCTGGGGTTTTACTTCTCACTTTCCCTCTATCTCTCTCTGTCTCTGTCTCTCTCCAGTGAGAACATACACCCTCTAGCCAAAAAAAAAAAGAAAAGAAGAGGCTCAAAAGAAGTTTTCCAAAATCAGTGGATGTTAACAGTTAACAGGACAGAATCCTGAAGGTAGTGAGGGGAGGGGAGGAGGGGGGAGCAGGAGGGGGAAGGTAAGGAGGGAGAAGGAGAGGAGGAGGAGAGTGAGGAGGCTTCCTCCTGGAAACTGGCGTTCTATCCTCAAGGAGGAAAACGTTCCAGCCATTTCCTGGCAGAAACCCCCGGGGCCATTCTTGCATCTGCTGAGGTAAATGTCACATTCAAGCCCAGCCACGGGGCGGAACCTGAGTTTTACAGCAGAGCAGGAGGGAACATTCCACGCGGTCTAAGTGAGGAAGGAAACTGACCCGGCAGACACATCTATAAACAACTGCATCGGATTTTCTTACCCACCTTGAGTTTCAAATATCCTTTAAAGATGGGGAAGGGGTGGGCGGTGGTGAGGTCACCCCGCAGCATGCTGGCCAGTTGCCTTGGAACCCAGAGCTTTCCAGCACTTACCCTCTGCTGCAGGGGCCATGGGGGTGTGAGGTGCAGCTGGGCCTACTTCTCTAACACCAACCTGGAGGCTGGCCCCCACTTTTTCAAATCAATAAATTAACAGCAAAACCATGGCCTTAAATTAACCAAAAGGGAGTTTCGATGGAGGAGGAAGATTTTAAGCTAATCAACACAAAAGGGGGGGGGAAGCAACAATACTGTGCAAGAAAATTTAAAAACTTAGAGGAAATGGGTATTTTCTAGAGAGAAAAAGTACCAATAGGTACCCAAAGAGACATCTGTCCGTACCAGCAGGAACCCGACAGACTGTCATTTCCCAAACACATGGCGAAGCAGGGAGGGGGTGGGGGAACTCGGGGTACTGTTTTCCAGGTGATGTCAATAAGCCTTGGGAGCACTAATTCCAATGTGATCTACCCTGCTCTGGGGAGAATAAAGAAGGGAATGTGTGCGCCCATCCCCCTTGGGGGTGATTTCTCACTTTCCTTCTCTCTGTCTCTGTCTCCCTCTGGTGAGTGCACGTACGCTATGGCAAAGATCTAAATGCTCCAGGGTCTAGAGAAAGCAAAAAGGCTTCCAAATGATTATTATGTTGTTGTTTTTTAAAAAGAATTTATTTAATCTTATTTATTTATTATTTTAATTTGACCAGAGAGGGACAGAGTGAGAGAGAGAGAGGGAAAGTGAAAAAGCAAGTTGGTAAGTCATCAG